CAACAAAACAAGCCACTTCAGTGCTGACATCAGGATGTAAGTGTCAGGAGGCGAAGCGTAGACGAGAATCTGCAAAAAAAAATAATGTCACGGCGTACGTTTAACACTATATGGCAAAGGAAGCGAAGGGCAGTGACGTCCCCTCCTCCTTCAGTTAAGACACTAAAAATATGCAGGGAATGCTAAACAGTTTTGCTCTCTGTGGTTTCACTACCGAGGAGGAAAAAAAAAACAACGCAACTAAGCTTTCAGAAAAACTACAGTTTGCCGTTTCGTCTGTCGCCTTCGTTAGACAATATGCTAATGTAGCCGGGCCTGTTTTCCTGGATCTAGACTACACAGAGACAAACGTAGGTAGTTTTGGTTACACATGTGGCCAGTGGCAGAATGAATACAATATAAATATAAATAATATATCCTCTTTTTTAAAAAACAAACAAACAGAAAAAATGGGGCGCTTCAATCTTTTCACTTCTAACAGCTACAGATCATTTTCAGTTGGGTATAAATATCACTCTGGACTGGCCAATAAATTAATCTTTTCAGTGCCCAAATGGTTTTTTTTCCCCTCGTCTCGGGGCGGAGTGCTCGGGTTGAACGGCGACGCTGGCAAACTATAGGTCGACTGAAAAGCCGCATGCTTCTCTTTGAATTTACCTAACTTTCCCTTTAGACATACACTTTATAGCTCAATAACATAATAAATAGGAACAAACAAAAAGAAAAAAAAAAAGAAACAGACAAACAAAAACAATTGCTGTTACAATGCATTCGTCAATTCAGTTTAGGCACGAGGCAATTTCCACATACGGTTGGAGGAGATTGCGGAGTCTCTGATTGTTCAGAAGCAACACACTTCTTGCAGACAGTGATATGTGCTGAAGATTTTTTTTTCTTTTCTTGTGGGGGAGAAATTTGCAGATGGTCGCAGGGAGCTGGACGCTTGGCTCTTCTTCAATCTTCGGATTGGATTGTGTTAGACTCGTAGTTTCGCTTCAAGTGGTCTGTCTCCTCCAATTGGTGTCACAAACTGTGAGTCCTGTCTGTCGCTGGGAAGCAAGGTCACCGACTCGAACGGGACAGAAACGATCTGCATCACTTTGATCTGGAGAGAAGAAACACAAGACAAGGAGACGAGTTCATCAGTGATTAGCGTGTTTTTGGTTTAAGATTAGAACGAATGACAGATAACGAAGAGTTAATGTCACTGTTTAACATATTCATAGAAGATTAGGATGAACAGTGTCCTTTATTTTAATGGATGGATAGATAGATAGATAGATAGATAGATAGATAGATAGATAGATAGATAGATAGATAGATAGATAGACAGATAGACAGACAGATAGACAGATAGATAGATAGATAGATAGACAGATAGACAGATAGATATTTTATTCATCCCCTAGGGCAGGTGTTGCTCCAATGAGCAGCAGCAGCAGAAGAAGCCGCAATTAACTGAAATTATGGAAAAGTTTTTAAAAAGAACAAATGAAGATGGAAGTGATGCCACTCGCTCCTCAAAGGCCAAACTTGTGCACAACCCTGACTTTGTCAAGTTTGGTTTTGTGAACAGAGGCAGCGAGGCAGAGCCCAGTGTGTTCAGTATGGTTTAACGCTAGCCAACAAAGTTCTGAAGCCTTCAAAGCTACGGCGGCATCTCGAAACCAAACATCCAAAACTAGTTGGGAAGCCAAAAAGAAAATGGTCTACAGCTTTCTTATCATTTATTTTACAGGTTTATAGCTTGTTAAACTGTAAGTGGATTTGATTTAGTTGTTGAATCCAAATCAAACCAAGACTCGGATCAACTGAAATGAACGTGTTCATAGTTAAATGGGATCCACTTTGTTCTGGGAAACTTGGGCCTCAGGGTCACAAAGGTTGAGAACACCTGCCCTCGGGGAGATTGGGGTATCTCAAGCTCAGCTCACAGGTACACATTACAACATAATATAACAGATAAACGACAACAACGACAACAACAACGACAGCAACCGAGCACTAAAAGTGAGCTGGTGATAAAAGTGATAAAATATTAAAATATGATAAAAGGCTTGAACCAGAATCAGTAAATAAATCGGCTCATAAATAACAAATAATGATGATAATAATAAGAATGATATCATAATTGTAAATTCCTCAGTACTTTAGATTCAAGTTTATTGTCATCGAGTCCTAAGAACAGAAAATGCAATTCGGCATCTAATCAGAAACAGTAAAAGTCTGATGCAGATGTTCCCAGTATGAGCAGGTATAGACAGTATGAACAGTAGATGTAAGGACACAAGGTTTAAGAGTATATGAGATGTTTAAGTAATGACAGCAACAGATGGCTGCAGCCGTGGAGGTGACAGTACCTGTCTCCTCCTCAGAGGTGGCCCATGGGGTTGGATGTGTCGGTCAGGCCTGGATGGACTCCTGTGTGGCCTTGTTGGGCGTCACTGGAGCCTCCGGACACTTTCTCTTCCTCCCTTCTCTTAAGGCAGGCTGCTTTGGGGTTCAGATTCCGCTCTGGAGGTTCAGGGAGACAGAAAATCTATTTGTTTTTACCCACATATTTGAACAGCAACAGTGCTCATTTTATAAAAATCAAATCAGATCACAAGTCCAAAGATGTTTGTGAGGACTCAGTGTTTTAGTGAATCAGGAGGCATCATGACAGAGTTTTTAAATTCAACATCTCTGCTCTGTTGTGTACATGTAACACATCAGGAAACAAGCAGCGAGCGTATGGCCACGTTGACTTGACCCAGTCCAAGTAGTTTCTATACTGTTGGCGTGATGCTTTGGCTCAGTGTCTGTATTTGGCAGGACTGTGAAGTGAATTAGATCCATCTGAATCAGTGCAGCTCTGTTTTACTGCAGCATCAACAGTCTCCTCTCTGGATGCTGATATGACATCACCACCTGCAGGAGGACATGAAGTGTTTCACAGAATCAGTTCACTTATTTGCGACGCTGACCTCTGACTTGCTGCTCCAAGCTCAGAATGACGGCCACGGCCTGATGGAGGATGAGCAGCTTGGTCTGGGGCTTCTCGCTTTTCAGGTGCAGCTGGCACATACGGCCCAGCTCCTTGAAGGCCTCGTTGATGTCTCGCACCCTCAGGCGCTCGCGGGCGTTGTTGGCCATCCTTCTCTCGCGCTCTCGCTCAGCCTTCTGCTCTGGGTTCAGGTCCTCGTCTTCAGTGATACTGTGGGAGTCGGAGGAGAAACCCGCCTGCTGTTTAACGAGCAATCACTAGCAGAGAGTCACACAGTAGCTCCTCTCGTCAGCTAATAAACCGTTTTACATCATAAGTGTTTCTTTCCTCCTTTGAAAGATAGATAGATAGAACTTTATTGATCCCTTTGGTAGAACCTCGGGGAAATTGTTGAAGACAAAGACACCAAACAAACAAAATTTAAACCAATACTTAAATGTGTTTAAGTACCAAGCGACACTGTTGAGTCCAATGTAAACCAACATCATCACCATTATTAGTGACACTTCCTCCGTATAAAACAACAATCACTGACCTTTTAAGTCGGAGCTATATGTACGTTATTGCTGCTGAGGACAAACATTTCACTGCGGCCAAACTGTAAATAAAATGTTTTCTACTTATGTGTATTCATTTATTTGTCTCTCTGCTCCTTGTTGAGAAGCAGAGCGTCGACTCCGTCAGTAGAGCTGCTCCAGTAATTTAGTGTCTCAAGCCAGACGACTGTAGTAAGAATCTTACTCTGATGTCCAAATCAGACTAAAACCCATCAAACTGACATAAAACACTGAGGCTGGTATAAATATTTAAAATCACATCATGATAATTAAGTTAAAAATAAGCCTGCTGTCCCTTTAGCAGTTCAAGGCTTCGTCACTTTGAAGTTCTGATGTGATTCTGCACCGCACCTGTACACATCGTCACTAAGGATGGGAGGAAAGTTTGTACGGTTAAGATCACTGCTCAGACCTGATCCTCGTTTTCTGTCTTTATAGAACCCTTTTAAAACATAATCTGCTCAGCTTCCCACAGCAGACAGAATCAGAATCAGAGTCAGAACACTTTATTGGGCAGCGGTCTCCAACCTTTTTTGAAACCACAGATCGGTTTCAAGTAAAACAATTTTCTACAGACCGGTCATTGCACACATAACAAATAATACTTGATAATTTTTATTAATTTTTCTGTTAAAAAAGTGTCATAAACTAATCAAATTACTTTCTATTGATAAATAAGTATTTACTATTTCTTCCGTCTCAGCATCTCATCCTCTTTTCAAAGCAGCTCTCCAGAAAAGTTAGTTTTTTTACTCATTTTGGTTTGAACAGATTTTAATGGCTGAGCATGAAAACTGACCGAGACAAGTGCAGGAAACAAGCTACGGGAAGACGAGCTAGCCATTTTTCAAAATAAAACACCCTGCAGACTCTGCCGGGAACAAAATAAACCAATAAAACATTTTTATTCTTTCTGTGCGACCCGGTACCGGTCCGCGGCCCGGTGGTTGGGGACCACTGCCCGAGGGGGGAATTGCTTTCAGTTACAGATGCTCCCAATCAAAAGTCTTAAAGAAGTAGGAAAGTAAAAATATATAATAAAATATGAAGTATCAATATGAAAATAAAAATAAAAATATAACACAAAATAAATATACATCTGCTGTTGTAAAGTGTAAATACTATGTAATAATAATAATAGTTCTACCATTTGGATTATTGCACATTATTAAACAGTCAACAGTCAACCCATTCACTCAGAGGGAGGGTTTGTACAGTCTGATGGCCACATGCAGGACTGATCAGGAACATCAGCTTAAGTCCAAACGCTTTGTGAAAACTCCATCGTGTGTCCTCACCTCGTGCGCTGGCCTGATCTGGGTGTCTTCATGTCTCTTCTGTCGCTCTCGTCGTCGGACTTGTCGTCGCCAGAGAGGCTGTCGTGCATGTCGTCTTTGTCCTGCTTCTCCACCTTCAGCTCCAGGGCGGTGGGCATCTGTCCAGCCAGGGTCGAAGCGAGGCCTGTTGCCAGTAAAGCAGAGGTTAGGACACCAGTACGCTGTGTGCGGCGAACATAATGAGCTGACGGGACTGCAGGCTGACCTCTGAATGTTTCCAGTTGGTGGTTGAGCTCTGCGGTGGATGTGGAGCCGGCGCTGGGCAGACCTCCATGGCTGTTGTTCAGGCTGGCAGCATCGTCGCCTCCCTGCTGCAACACAGTCAGGAAGGACATGTGAGGAAAGGAAGCAGACACTCTCTGGAGACTTTTAAGCAAGAGCCTAAAATGGAAGCGCGAGTGGTTCCAAACGATGAGATTAAGTTTAGTTATAGAGGTTCTTAGTGGCTGATGAGTGGTGGCCCATCCACCTTCAGCTATTTGTTTTCAAAAAATTAGGACGGACATACAAATGGAAGCTATTTTTTGCATTATATACAGAAAGATCTAACTATTGACATGAAAGCTTTCTCCTGTAAACTGAACCTGAGAGTGCTTTTGGTGATTTGCTTCACAGCGGCAGCGCACAAGGCGGAAAACAGAACAAAAAGCCCGATCTGAAGACCCGAACACGCAGCCTCGTCTTTGTCTGTGTTTACGTTACATTTTGTGTAACTGCTTTGCTGTGACATTCTCAAGCAAAGCTCTCTGTAACCACAACTGAGAACACGTCTGCAACGAGAAAAACCCTCTGAGCTCTGTTTCAAAAGACGCAAACCTAAAGCCACTCCAAAGTCTGACCGTTTCCTTGTTATTCTGTCCACACTCATAACATAAAAATGGTCAACTCCCACCATGTTGCACCACAATGTTCTTCCTTTACCACATGTTCTCAGGCTATTTGATTTCCCCGTCGAGGACCAGGGAAAGGCGGAGAAATCGTCACAGAGGGTGGAGGGTATCTCCCCCTTTTTCTTCTGGAATGTGATCCCCAGTCACTGTTGGCCTCTGTTAACCCCACCACTCAGAGATCCTCCCCTTCCTCAGCGCTACGCTAATCTTTGCTGCGCTCTCAACAGGTGTCCAAACAACTCTTTGTCTGGAGGAGGAGGAGGGAAGCTGGGGCTCTGGCAAGAAAAGAACGCTGCCATTTTCATGGCTGGGCCTGATTACCATACAGCTGAGGACCTCTATTTGGGTGGAGGCCGCGGGTTCAGACACACGTTTCCAACGATTCAGATTTCCTGGGTTGTTAAAAAGAAGTGATGAAAAGGGGTGGAAGGGGGCAGAGGGCGGGGTGTCAGCCGGAGTAAAAAGCCTGTGGCTTTGCCGTGCCGAGGCTGCTGAGCCCCGTCTGAAGGGACCTCTTCCCACACAGGAAGTGCTGTGTTAGTGCAGACACAGTATGTTCTATCTCACAGTCGCAGTCGGTCAACATCACTGCCACAACCCAGCTCTCTGTAACAAATACATCACACTGAGCTCCTCTGACAACCACAGAAAAATTCTAGTAAAGGGACAAAACGGGCGACCAAACAACTTCAGCATCAGAGCGAAAACACCCACCGACAGAACGCCTTAACACACACACACACACCAAAACTCTAAATGCATTCAAAGAAAATTAATGTTGGCAAAAGTGCAGCCTGGACGGCCGCATAGACAAAACACAAGCAAAGTCTTTCTGGTGAAGAATAAACAGTAAAACGTCAGAGTGAATCACACATGCACTACATCTTCTTATCCCTCCTTTCTGCTGCTGTAAATTTCATCTGGGGAACAGAGAGCCGTGTCTTTATTTAATATGTGTTTGTGTGTGTTTTATGTCAGCTGGAAGCCTGAGGTTGGGATGACAAAGAAAAAAAAATAGAACGGTGCTAGAATTGGAAAAACAGAAAAAATGTTGATTAACAAAAACATAATTAGCAGCTATTTTTAAAAATGTATTAATCATCACTTTATAAGAAAAAACACCAAAACACTGTCGAGTTGTAGCTTCTCAACTGTTTGTAGCTGCAAATATAATACTGTTGGCAAATTATAAACTCACTGCCTCAGTCTGATAAAAGCAGAGAGAGATGTTGCCTAAGTTTTGGAAAACCAGATGGATTTTAGGTCTGAATGTGAAGGTAACATCTAATCTAGTGATAAACACTGAGGGTTTTATTATCATCAGAGGACAATGACTTTAAATGAGTGTAATAAAAAAGTAAAACACATCAGTGAAAGTGAGTTTATCCTTCATCATCTGACTTTTCTCCTTCATCATTTCTCTTACAGCATTAACTAACATAGACTCCGACCCGTCCAGCATTGTTTCTTCTGTTTGTTTTGTTTTTTTTCAAAATATTGTGCGTGACCCAAATTATTTCCAAACACCTCCGGATTACAGTTGGACGAGCCGCCCCATTTTAATTTCCACTGCAGATGTGTTCAAATCTCTTGGCTCTTTAAAATGAAATACCTCAGATGGAGGATGGGTGAACACGCCATGATTTATACGGAGACCTGCATTCCCTCGTTTCTCAAGAGGCTTCGACTTTAACTCTAAAAGGAGCGCAACACACAAACACGTCCGACGCCGGAGCACAACTTCGCTCCGTTGCGCCTGTTTTTCTCATTTCTCTTTCGCCCTTGTGTATACAGCCGCTCTCGAGAGGAGGGTGAGCCTAAGGCCAGGCATTACACTTATGGAAAATATGTCAGTATAAATTCAACTGTTCATGTGTGGAAAATGTCTCGTCTTTACACATGGCAGCGCACCCGCTTGGAGCAGGTGGCCGAGGCGTTCGGTGTGGTCAAGTTAAACACTCGACATGTGTCCTCGTACACAAAAATCAAACATCTAAACACTTCTGTGGAGTTATCATACCATCGCTGCAGTCCGGCCTGGAACCAATGCAGAGGCTGGAAAGTTTGGCCCAATGGCTGTTATTGGCCCATTTTGCGCCTGTCCCAGCAGACTGTGTATGTCGCTGGGCAGACTGGCGGTGGAGCCCACTGCATGGTTCCTCAGAACGAGGATTGCATCATCCAATCTGTCCAGACGATCCTCCATTCGAGACTAGGAGGGGGGGACGGGACCGAAGGGATTGAGGAACGAAGGGTTGGGGAGAGGGAGAAGAGAGGAAAAGAAGGACAGAGCAGCTTAGTATAAGCACATTAGGACAAAAATTGAAAACACTGATTGTATGGAGTGAACTTGGAAAGTAAAAAAAAAGAACAAACATCTGAAACATAAGATAAAAAAAAGAAAAAAAGGCAATTCAAATGCAAGATCAGATGAACCATTTCAGCTTGAGTTAAAGTCAACATATGTCCTCGCTTGTTTTCTACCTGAGTAACGGACAGAGGCATCGCGGCCACTTAACAATTCACTCAACATCTGCACATAAGCTGATTACTGCAAGCTGGAGTGGCCACAGAAGGAAAAAATAAAAAACAGAACATGACAATAAGGCAACAAAGGCAGTAAAAATGACATTTTACTATGACGAATGTGAACTGCACGTCCGACCGTGCGTGAGAAAACAAAACGAGGAATGCAAAGATGTATGGAAGATGTAATGAGTAAAGGCTCTATCTGGGAAAAAAACAAGTACCTCGCAGACATCCTTTAAGAAAGACATGGCATCCTGAAGATGCTCATGTAACTGCTGATGAACTCTGTTTTTCTGGCAAAGTCAAATAAGAATAAGAGAGAATTATGAAAAAAGATCAGTCTATAAATACGACAAACACACTGTGGAGAGAGAGATTGGTTTTGTGAAGACACGCAGACGAGAAGGGCAGGATTTGGGAGGAAGCGCCGAGCTGCTGACCGTTCACTTTGTCAGGAAGAGAATGTTTTGTTGTTTGCACATTTAATAACCTCCACGCTCACATCTCCTGCATTACATTTAATACAATGCACAGGAGTTTCTCTGACTCCAGATGCTTCCAAGTTTTATGTTTTGCGGTTTCTCTGCTGGAATGAATATCGTCGTTGGTAAAAGCTGCGTATTATTATTACTTCGCCCTTTTCATTTTTAAATGTAAGAAATATGAACCAGAAAGAATGTTTTGTGGATTATCACAGTCAGCTATTTTTTACATTAGTCTAAAACTAATATAAACTGCTGTTGGCAGCCCGGTCCGCTAACAAGATTAGTCATTTCGGCTGTAATCTAATCCTTAAGTAGCTTCATCACTGTTTCCTCGGGCTCCAGGGACTTTCCAACGTTCCTAATAGTTTCAATTCAACTACCAGAGAACTGTGATCCGTGCTTTTATTTCAACACAATTTTGAACACATCCTGAGAATAAAACATCATTTGGGCTTTCCTTCGCTGCCTGCCAATGGAATTATTTATTCATTACCAGCTGTAATGGAATCTCTTTTCACCACTTCAGAGCCTAAATGGTTGCAAAACCCTCGCGGCGAAGGCGATCTGAAGGCTCACCGCTTTCCATTGTGGCCCCCAAAAAATATATAAAAGCACTTTTTTTTTTTTTTACACAGATTTGTTGTGTTTCCTACAACAGGAAGCTATTTATCACTCCATGTAACAGAAAGTAAAGTGAAAAATTTCAAGATCTGCATTTTAAAACCAATATAATCACATTATCACACACGTTTTATGATCTCATTGGGATGGAGGAAATAATATGTTCCATTAGACTTGGCTCATGTACAATATACCTGCATTCACATCAGTTGATTAATTGGGTTGTCGAGCAACTTGCTGCATGACAAATAAATCTCCTGTTCTGTGTTAAAAACCCACCGATGTCCCGAACACAGTCAGAAGTTGCCGTCTTTTAACTCTGCTGCAGGTCTGAGTCTCCGTTTCACAGATTAACGTAGAACAGCAGAGCAACGTGTCGCAGAGCTGCGTTTCCGTTCTGCATCACGTCCAACCATGAGACACATTGCTTTATCAGCAGCCAATTTCCAGGTTATCTGATACTATTCACTTGCTCTGCTACGTTCACGTGCGCTGCCCACTTATCTTTAGTGGCCATGAAGAGACACAACAAAGCCGGAGGCAGCGTGAGAGGAAACATCTACACGTTCGCTGTCCTCTTCACGTACAATTAGCCGACTGAATGGAACTTTGTGATAAGACTGTAAGTGGAACGACTGTGACCTTATGAAATCACATTTTGTAAACAATACATTAAAACATGGATTATACAGCAGCGAAGTTCACATTACACGAGGTCAGACTATATATTATTTCCATGACGCTGGTCAAAGATCAATCTACGTGCAACATGACGTCACTGGCAAAGAGGTGTCAGGGATCATCCCCCACAAACAAACAATGGGGTGTCTTGTGATTGGAAAAACCTAAAAAAAAAGAAAACAAAACCAGCCGTGGAACCATTTGTGGAGGACAGAACGAGTGTCTGCCATCCAGCCTGTCGTTGCCATGTTGTGTGTTTAAGAGCGTTTTGAGCTCTTATTGGGCAAATTGTCACAAAATGTGACAGAAGGCAAAAAAAAAATTGGGACGCTTGACTTTTAGCGTCCCAGATGTGGCATCAGAAGTTGTCAACCACTGGTGCCAGGTGCTGGTGTTTGGTCCAGACGGCCTACATCTTTCAGGTTATTTTTTAGTTTGGACCGGAGACAACAGGAGATGTTCTGCAAACCAGCAGCAGACAAGACAGCAGGTAGCTTTTGACTGTGGGAACTCTCTTTGGCTTAATAACCAAAATGGACAAGAAAAGACTTTTAAACAGATCCTGAGTGAGCCCTGCTTTGACCAATGTCTGCCTTTGGAGCTCTCTGGGTATGATAAGTGCTTTATATTTATTTATTTTAAGCCAGTAAATAAACTCTACATAATCCACAAATGTAAATGCGAGTCATGTGCATCAGGTAGTAGCTGGATGAAATGTGATCCTGGGCTCTGGTCGCATGGCAGCGAAGGAATTCTGGAGTAGTGGTTCAGCAAACAGCTGCCACCCCGACACCAGCCCCCTTTACCAAACCCATCCCCCAACTGTCATCCCCGTCCTGGCCCGCGGAGCAGCGGACAGATGGCAAGCCCCAAGGGACAGGTATTGTTCAGTTTGGTTATCCCTCGACCCCCGCCTTCCTCGGCACCAACATTTGTCAGACAGGAATCTCCCTGTAATGCTAGCTCAGGCCTTCGTGGGCAGCTTATCTAAAGTGAGCATCCATCATATTCTGATCTCACTGGAGGACGGAGGCAGACAAGGAGCTTACCAGTGAGTGAAGGGAGTTCTCATAATTTGGAGAGGAGGGGGTCTGTCCACCGGCACGGGGCCACTGGTTGGTACCTGATGAGAGAGAGAGAGAGAGCGATACAGAGATCGTTTGGCAATCCTCCGGTTCAGTTTCACATTAATACGTCTGATGGCTGTGTCCAGGGTACGGCGACGCAAAAGCCAGCTGACACACACGATAACACGCAGTCGTAACACGCTGACATCCTGATTTTCTGGTTTCTTGTTGTTCTGTACGAGATATTTTTATCTTTTAGGGCTCAACTGCATCACTTCCTGATGGCTGGACTGCATCCTGACATGTGGATGGTTCGACTAACACCCACTTCCACCCAGAAATGAAGGCTGCATGTGCACATTAATAAGCGTAGTGACGAGAGGCAACGTGAGCGCTGAAAAATCTGACTTTAAACACTAGTTTTCGTTCACATTTACTTTTTCCTGGAAGCGTCGACTCTATGAACACATCAGAGCAGTCGGCGTTGCAGCGTGGTCGAACCGTGTTTTGACACATCAGAGTTTCTGAGGACGGAAATATCACATGAATCCGGGTTCAGTCCAGTTCACGCTCTTCCATTACATGCGAGCATTCCTGAGTCGTCTCTCTCATTACGTTTTTGTCAGTCTGCTTGATTGGAGATGTCGTGACAGTACAGTCTCTTGTATTTTACAGGATTCACATCTGGAAAAATCTCGAGTACGAATGTTCGTACTAATTTGTCCCATAAAGCCACTTTTGGCACTTTCCCCTCCGTTTAATTCTAAATAGAAAATATCCTGCATTACAATCACATAGTCAAAATCTAGCACACTAGAGATTGTAATTTACCTTTGGCTGCAAGAAGGTCGCAACAGATTTCTGCACATTCGTTTGAGCCAAAAAGTTAATCTACAGGCCAGCACCGGAAGGCAAATCAAGATGATTTGATCTGGTGTAAATTAGAGAAAAGGAAAAGGAATCCACATCTGCTCATCACATTTCCACCTCCGGTACATTTCTTTCTTTCCTTTTTCTGAAGCACAGTCATCCACGTAACCTGCCCGCCATGTGTAGGGAGAGGCAATGCGTTACAGTGCAATCAAATAACCTTAATGCGCTCTGACAATAACGAACCTTTGCAGGTTATTTACAGGATAGAGTGTCGGTGGCCTTTAGAGCTCAGAGCTCTCAGTGTTCTTCTGTTGTCTATTATCGTGGACGGACGCCAAACCAAGCCTACGTCCCTGTAAATGGAGTCCGCTGTTGCGCAATCCACACACAGAGACTTGTATGGTTTAGTGTGATTCTAGCAGTTCGTTTTGGATGCTACTCTCTACTTTCTATAACAGCACAATAATGAAAAATGCAGACCAGGATGAGGGGTATCATGTACAGCAGGAGGGAGCCTCGGGGAACACCGATCGATGTTTTTCATTCTTAATTTAAAGAGTAATTTAAAAAGCTGCGGCGGGTCGAGTGGTTTTCTGAGCCCCATCTGTGAGCAGACTGATGCAATGTTTTTACTCCTAATTGTTCACTGTTTGTTTTCATACACATCCAGACCTACACGTTCAGACGGAACACAAAATAAACCGCTGAACTTAACACCGTGGGGTTTTTTTTTATTTTAAATTGTGCTGACAGTGAAAGACAGTGAGCACCTGACGTGTATTTCTGACTAACGCTAGAAAAATCACGCCTCCCTCGAGTTGGGGAAACTGTTCAAACAAAGTTTTCCATTAATTCATTCCGATGAGATGTCTGACTAAACCTCTGTGGTCTTCTGTACTCCAGTTTTCATGTTTCTTCACACACACACACACAGCCTTGAGAAAGGCAGACTTTAATTAACAGACTATTAAAAGTGACTTTGGAGGAGGAAATGAAAAAAGTCTCTGTTCTGCCTCAGCTTTCTCCCAGGTGAGTGAGGCAGGAACTTCACATGAGCCTCCGCTGGCTGCTGGCTATGAAAAATTAGCCCGAGGCTCTGGTCCCCACGTGCACCACAGAGGGCTAATTGAACAAAGCAGGCTTGAGTAATGTGCTGTGTATTGGTGTAATCCTAGTGATGAATGGATTTTACGACTAGCGTCAACAGCGAGCCAAATTTTGGGACGAATAATTAGAGAAACAATATCCTTTCCCTACAATCCCAGACGTATATATATATACTTGCCAATAGAGTTTCTCCTACATATGTGAATTCTATTAATCAAAATAAACTTCTCTCTCTTTTTGTTTTTTTTGTATATTTTACCTGTAACGTCTTTTCTATCACAACTCTTTCTAACAATTTTATAAAAGCATCTATTTGGAATTTGTTCTGAAGCAGACGACGAATGCCGCTACCAGGTGTGCTACTGTAAATAGGTCAAGAGAGCCGCCACAGTCGTCCTCATCAGCTGAGTCACAAACCACCTTCCTTCACCCACTGGCAAATAAACAGGGCCTTTTTGCAGTCTGGTCCGTGTGTGTGTGTGTGTGTGTGTGTGTGTGTGTGTGTGTGTGTGTTGGGGGGGAACAGCTGTCCATGGGGCAGGGCAACAGCTGAGGATGAGGGGGGCATACGTAGAGACAGCTGTCGCCACTCCATTACCACACATGACACAACTGCCCGCTATAACAACACACTGGGCTTTCCCTTACTGTCCCCCCTCGTTCTCTTTCCATTACTCTCTCGCCTCTGTCATCACGTCTGACGGTACATATTTTTCTAATGCACGTCTCCTTTCTTTCTGGACTTAAAAACCCTGCACGCTACAAACAGAAACCCCCCGTTTTTTCAGGTGTTTTTTTTTAAATACGGGCTGCACTGTTTTTTTTTAACTGTTTCCTTGTTTTTGTTGCACAAAATAATTACAATCCAGAGGGAAGCTTGTCTGTCCATCCTCCAAAAAGGAAAAAAAAAATCAAGCTGACATAAAAACACAAATTACTACAAAGTACTTGTCTGCAAAAGCAGGATTATGAACAATAAATCTACTCCCTGAAGTTGTGTCTTATTACACAGCATGGGTGAGGGCCTTGAGCTACTATTATAAGCCATAAAAACAGCTTTGCAAATATGAAAAGCTTTTCAATAATTGTAATTCAAGACCCACTTCAAAACTCGTTCGCTGCATAATTGTCAAATCCTTCAACCATCCTAGGAGTATTTTTTTTATTTTATTTTTCACCGTCATTCTGGAGCTTGTCTAAAAATTTCCATCACCTAAAACTTTATTCTGACAGCACTTGTGAGCCAGATCTAAATTTATGAACATGAACAAAGACCCTCCTAAAAAGCTGAGAGCCAAAACTAGTCTGTGATGTCAGCGGGAGTCAATGTGGAGCAGCTCTCTCAGCCATGAAAATAAAAGCCCGTGTTGTGGACGGTGGAGCGGCGAGTCCGGCGCCGTTTTAAGGTGCAGGTGTGTTGTTAGGCTCAGAATAAACTCGCAACACCGATTTCACGCTTTTTTTTTTTTTATACAAATCACATTATTTTCGACCGCAGGTGGGAAGCAGCCGGCGGATAAATCTGTCACAAAACTCTTGTTTCTGCTGGAGATTCTTGTGCACTTAAAAATTCATACAAGTATTTTGCTGTCAATTTTATGAAGCCTCATCACAGAATAAACGAAGCTTCCTTTGATTCATGTAAAAATTGTCCTAGTTGAGATAAAACTTGGACACTGAGCATCGAGTGATTAGAGAAACTTTTCACTCTGCTATTCAATAATCCAACTAATGCAGCACAGAGTAAGTCATTTAATACCCTTAGTCCTGTGTTCCTGTTCCAGTGATTCAGTCTTCTGTTGTGTCGGAGACGTCAGATTACAGCGGCTCATCAATCCTGTGTGTCACCGCCTCCTTTCTTACTTTCTTTTTGAGCAACATTTCATATTTCATTCGTGAGACGCGTGACGGGGCAAACGCCGCCGTGCCACATTTACAGTATGATGTTCCCATCTATCACCTGAGACGCGGCAGAAATACATTTTGGCTTTATGTGTTCAGGTCGTGTTGCTGGACAGTAATATCATTTGGTGGAGAAACCTCCTTTAGTTGTTGTCATGCGTCACTGCTACAGCTGTTGCAGAGCGATGAGAACAGTGACAAGAGTGAATTTATTAATCATACATGCTCTGACTTACATCCTGCTTCAGCCAGCTCTTCTACACTTTGTGGAGTTGCACATGTCAAAAAACCTGCCTTTTTTGCTTGTATTTGTGTTTAAGAAAACCTTCTTTCAAGCACAATCATGTGCGTCTGTCGCTTGCTCTTTACTTCTGAAAAAGTCTTCACAAAGCAGTTTCAGAGCTTATTTGTATTCTGCGGTTGGTATCAGGTTGGAAGTGTATTGGAGGTGTGTATGAGATTAAAATCCAAAGTCTGGTGCTCTACCTGGCCTTCCAGACGGGGTGCCGGCAGCAGTCACCACGGTACCTGCTGAGGCAGCACCTGCTGTGGCTGTCAGAGGTGAAGGAGAGCCCACAGGTGTCGACGGATTGGAAGGAAAACTACTGCTAGTGTGGTCAGGTGAGTAAATCTGTGGAAGCAGAGAGGAGGAGGAGAAAAGCACCGTCGGTCATTAATGCATCAGCGGAATAAAAATAAAATACAAATAACAGGTTGTTTTTTTGTTTTTTTTGTTTACAGCTGTTATCATCTTCAAGCCACGACTGTATCATCGATTACAGGGATGTTAGTGCCGGGATGTCATGAAAATACTCAGTCGTCTGTGTTTAGAGCAGAGCTTCAACAAAATGATTCACTTTGAGCTCTGATGCTCTTCTGTAAATCTGTCGATTATGGGTGAACATAAACACCATTTGAGCCGTACTTAGAATTGGAATCAATGTTTCTGAATCAGGACATTCGTAAACTCAACTTCTATTTACTTGTTTTAAATGTAATACATTGGGGTTAGATTTAACAGAAAAATGTTAACAACTTAACACAAATCCAGTATTTCTCTAAATTTACTCGCTAACCTTCACATTTAATGATCGGCCCATAAGAATCTCGCCCCACTCAGAGCTTTACCAACACATTACAAACTATTTCACTCTCACTCTGGGTCAATGTTGTTCTGGCTCTGATTAAAACACACTAAGACCAAACTAAAGAACTTCCTTCTGTTTCCCCTTGTGTGCTTACAGCAAGTGTTTGGAATAAAAAGGACACATGCACCGACACCAAACTTATTAAAAAGCTGCAGTTATACAGGAGCGCACTTTGTTTTTCACTTGTATAAGGATTCGAGTCAGTCCGGTTATTATTCCACTGTGGCTTCAAGAAGCGCAGACGCCCAACCTGGAAACCCCGTTAAGCCAACAAGAGAAAATCTCCAGGGCCACATTTCAGCCTGCAGCCAGAGACCGTGTTGTGAACCATATATCAAAATCTAGTTGTATTGTTTATTTTTTGCATCTTTCTAAACTTTGCAGACTCCATGAAAAAGGACAACTGGGGCACACGAAATGGTTTTGTGCACAAATGAAGTTTCATTATTCTTATAGCTACAATAAAAGGACGACTAAACTTTATTATGTCAGCGCATCCTCTCATAGGTTACGCCGAGGTCACTGAGTTTTAGGATGACATGTCAATCACAAGGGAATGAGGAGATTACGTCTTCAGAACTTCCACTGGGATTTCATTTGTTTAAACAAATGCTGGATTAAAGCACAAACACGTCCCTGATTTTTTTTTTTTCCTTCTCCCCCCTTTAATAAGAGGATATTTGTGCCACAATGGAACATGTCTCAGAGAAGTCAGGGTATTACGGGTGGATCCCGACTAATTAGCAGAGAAAAAAAAACAGCAGATCCACAGAGATTTCTCCTCTAAGTTAAGATCAAATTGAGCCTGCAGGAAAGCGTTCGACTTCAGCGGGGATGATAGAATGCACTCATTATTAATAATCTCCTTATTCAATCTTGATCTCGGGGCTTTAGTTTTTCAATCAACTCGCAGTATCAGGATAGAGGTTTCATTGAAGTGTGTCACTGAGTGTGGAGGAGGCTCGGCCGTTGTCTAAAGGGAAGAATAACCATTTATGCTGTTCTCAGAGAGAGAGAGAGCACAGCGTCTCTATCTGCTCACTCTCAGACATGCAATTCAGTCAAAAAAAAAAAAAAAACCTGAGGAGGATTAATAGTGTGGTTATTATAGTGTCAGAAACCAATACAACTTAAAACAAATCTCCAAATATTTCTCCTTAGTTTCTCAACAGCGAGCTGCTTATAACCGTGACTTCTGACCCGACAATATATGACTTTCTATTCTTTTCACTCGCTGGCTACTAACGCTGCATTCAAAGTGAAACATGGCTCATTTTACTGGAATAAATGAAGCCCCGCCTCGTCATCAGTTACGCTCCCGCAGGCGGCATGGGGCCAATAAGCACGGCCAATTTAAAAGGGCGGAGAACAAAAGCTCTACAAAGGGGGGCCCATGGAGTTGAGCCACAGCAGTTATAAACTCCCCTGTGCCCCCTGATCTATCCACCCACCCCCACCCTGGTCCAACCGTGTCCATTTCACTCCAGCTTTGTCATGCTAATAGAATTGAGTCTGCAAATATAAAGGACTTAATTTGTTATTACCATCCCCTGAACTCTCATATTTTGGATTCACACTAGAAAGAAATACGAACAGCTTGTGCTGCGAGTAAAATTAAAACGTTGCTTCATGTAAAACCGATACTGTAATGATCGCTGGATGTTTATGCAACACGGTAAACACCATTTGAGGTAGTTTTGTTGCAATAATAAGGATCAGACTTTTAAAATCAGAAACAGAATTTGAGTAAAAACACATTCGGCCAAATGAATGGAAAAAGCAAATCCAAAAAGCATTCCTGACAAAGAATGTTCCTCCTCTGAGACGCTGCAGAGAACACTGAACTGGGCTTAGACAAGAAACGTCCATTGTGTCATGTTAACTTCAACTTTTACAATTCTGTACGAGATGTTTGTTTAGATTCACTCGGTTCCAACTGTGACGTTCCTCCACCTGTGCCTCAGCTCAGCAGCACTCGATGGCTTCTCCAGATCTGGATATGTCACGATGTTTTTTTTTAAGAACAGCACAAGTAATCTAAAGGATTGAACCATTACAGATATCGGTGGCTCTTTTTCCAAACCGAAACGTAATCCGCTGGTTTTAGGAGCGTTTTTAATGTACAGTTTTCTTCCTTGAATACTTTTAGTTTATCCAGGCTTAGGCCAAAAAAACAACTGCAAACATGTCCTCTGGGCTTTTTTAATCAGCAGTCAATATAACATTTAATTCCCTGCATGACTACCGAGGTTATCTTCTTAAGAGAAAAAACAAAACCAGACCATTATTTTACTCTAAATCTACATTTTTTTGGAGCGTGTGGCTGCACAGAACTTAGATGTGATTTTTACACTCTGACAAGACGTCAGATTGGAGGAGAAATACAAAGACTTCTTAGTAGTTGAGCAGAATGCTTAAGCCGCATTGATGCTATCCAGACCAATAATGCAACACTGACATGGAATAAATGTTCCATCATAAGCCACGACTGAGTCCAACTAGTTTTAAAATCCAAATCTTGTGTAATTCTCTTCAATCAGGGAGTGAAGGCATGACGAACTGGACTCAGAGTTCAGACCGGTGTTGTAACTCACCGAGGCCAGAGCCTTGCCCAGTGCATCTCCAGTCTGTGAGCTTCCAGTGGCGGTCCCCCGATTTGCAGCAGCTAGAAAAACACAGAGGGAAGCTTTGTAACAGCAAACTCAGACAAATGAGGAGTGGTCACGGTACACAAAGCAGCTGTCCGACTGCGTGACTCACTACCTTTACAGAATGAATGCTCAGCAATGATTACATCGCGGGCCGGCGAATTAGTCATTCTGAGCAGGTAGCTGAACTGTTAGCACAAGAACGTACCCATGACCCCGTCGGCTGTGTTGACGGAGGAGGTGTGCGCTGCGGTGACGAATGGCGAAGTGCTGGTGTTGCTTCGGTGGAAGCTGGACATGGGAGGAAGACTGGCATTGATGTCCGGAGAGACTGAGTGCGCAGGATAATTCTAGGAGACATAAATAATAATAAAAAAAAGGCTTTATTTTTAAACATAAGTGTGTGTGTGTGTGTGTGTGTGTGTGTGTGTGTGTGTGTGTGTGTGTGTGTGGCAGAAACAGCTTTTTTTTATTCTCTAAATGTTAATTCCCCTTTGAGACCCTTCAGGCTGTGATGGAGCAAAAGTTACTGTGAGAAGAGACAGAGATAAAGAAAAAAAAAGATGGCAGGCAGCATCTGCAGACTCTCTGTGATGCCCTGACATAAAGAGGGGTCAGCAGCGTCTTCACTGATAATAACCAGACAACACAACTGAAGACGCACCCACCCACTCCAGCTGTGGGAGCAGCACCGAGGGAGTGCAGGGCCGAAAAAGAATTTACGTGCGGTGCTTTTTGAACGGGAAGCCCTGGATCTCCAGTGCATGTTTGATGGCGAAACAGAGTAACTGTCAGTAATTTGTCATGTGTTTGTATGATGAGCCGAGTGGAGGTACTCACCAAACGGTCGTGCGAGTGCAGGGTGCTGTAGTTTCCCGACTGTGGCATGTGAGATGAAGATCCTGCGAGCATTCCCCCATAGCCGGGCTGACTGATCCCGTTGGATGAATTCCAAGGGTCAGACGAACTGTGGGTACCATCTGATAGAAAAAACAACAACATAATTTTAGTATAGAATTGATCAGAATAGAAGAAAACGACTGACACAGTGCCAGGCAGCGGCTAACCTCCAGCTCCACCCCTACAACTCAGGGTCACCCGAGGAGTAGTTTTTACTTTTTTGGACTCTTGGGACTGAAACACGATCCCTTGTCCTGAACACAGCTGAGATAACATTAAAGCTAAAACCAACAAGAAGTCTATCTATGTGAGGGAGTCAGTCGCACTGAAATAAAACCCGAGCTCGGATTTAACGTTACGAAACGCTGGAACAGCTCAAAATGTCTGGCAACTTATAACAAACAGAATATATTATAAAGTTGCGTGCTACAAGGTTTTATCCCTTCAAAAATATGACAAGAAGATGACAAACTACCAAACAACATATAAATATCATTTTGAAAGCAAGAAATGCAGCAAACATGCTTTGAACTCACCAAAGAAAGTGCTTGCAAACATACTGCTGGAGGGTTTAGGAGAAGAGTAAGAAGGGGAATCTCTGTTGAAGTCTTCCGAGTTTGGAGATGGTGCATACACCTGCCAGGAGAACAGAGGCGTTATTAGAAGGGTCCAGCAAACGGTGAAGGGCTGCGGGATCGACTCAACTGGTCATTCGTAAGTGTAGGATACCGAGGCATGACTGACACACACACTAAAAGTTTTCTTATCTCACAAACACTTTCACCACCATCACATTTAAGAATTTGTGTACATATATGAGTCTGAACACAAGTACTGCAGATACCAGAAACCTACAACTACACACACACACGTTAATGACTAGCAAGTAATCAAGCTCATGAAGGGAGGAGTGGATTATCAGGAGTATTTGCATTTCAGATCAACTCAACCTCTAATGGAAGTATAATGATACCCGCTTACATGCACAGACTAAATACCTGGCAAATTACAGCGCTCCCAGAGAGGCAGAAATCAAATAAGTGCTACAAAAACAGCCTGCTTTGCTTTCTTTATATTTCTACCTGCGAGCTGGCGGTAGAAAGGAGAGGCACAATGGGCATGCTGTTGTACAGCTGTGAGTGTGTGCCAAGCTGGGCGGTAGGATCAAAGAGACTGGAGGCCAAACACCAGTGATGTGGTCTCTGACTTCATCCACTCCAGATGGAAGGAGCGAGGGTGAGGCAGAAAAGACAGAGCACGAAGGAGGGGAAGGAGGGAGAAAAGGTTCGGACTAATTCTCCCTCCCACAGACAGGACTGGACGACCCCACCGTCGTGTAACACTAATCAGAGCCAGACCTGCCAGATAGATTCCACCTGCACGTTTCCAGCTCGTGTCCCCACGCTGCACGATATAATCCCTCTTTTTATGGCCTCGTTTCACACTCAAGATGTTGACAGCTCACTCCGCAAAAATTGTTTGCGTGTGGATGCGACGGCGGCCACGGAGGTTGTTTACTTGCTTAAGTTGTTTTACGACGGAGCGCTGATGGAAAATCTGCATCACGGCCGCAGTAATATCAATTAAAACACGTGGACAACACGTCGATGCGGCTTAAGCGGGACTCAGGGCTGTTGGGCTTTGCTGAGTGAGCAGGACTCCGGCGTGCTGTTGTCTGGGTGTGTAATTAAAGTGCTGTGGGAGGGGTGGAGCTCTCCTGGGTCTTCTGGCTTACACATGTGACCAGGGTTGATAGTAGTTCCGTGGAGATCTCAGGTTAGCCTCGCACAGGAGCCCGGGCTTTGTCTTTTCGCCTCTGTCGGACGCTCAATGGGCAGCATATGGCAGTGGATGATGCTAATTGTCCTTTTTACCCTGGGCTAACCAGTCAAAGCATTAATAAACCATCCCAAACACCGGGTGCCTCATTCCGCCGGCCTATGGAAGAGAGGGCCCGCCTGGGTTTCCTTTTACAAGGCCATTAATTAAAAGCCGTCACTCACACAGATCGGCACACCAACACGGACCTACGCTGGTGCGGCTTAAATAAAAATCAGCTGCAGCAGTCGACACCAAAGCTAAAAGCAGTCATTAATTTTAATAAGATATTGCAGAAACATTTGCTATAAATGACCAAAAAAAAAAACGAGACAATAATGTTAGCTTTTGATAAGTGACTGATAAGCTGATTTAAGCTCACGGTGGGGGTGACTGATTCAGCTCTGAAACTTTTGCGGTTGCGCCTCTCACCAGCGTTGTGACTCAGCTGAGTGAAAATCCTTGCACAGCTTCCCACATGTCTTTAAGTCTGAGGTACCTGCCTTTGAAGTTGATGTCACACCGATTAAAATATCAAATGTTAAAACACAATCTGTCAGCCACCACAAAGAAGGCGCCATCATAACAGGAAGGGAAAGGAAATGTAAAAAACATAGAGATGTACGAGTGAGGGAAAAAATCAGGCTAATGGCCAAAAAAGCTCAAAGAGAAGAGTTCAAACACTCTTAATGGCGTGTCCTGTTTTTGTACGGTATGTCATTACTTGGAATCGAACCATATCTCTGGGGGATGTTGTTTCAAGTCCAAATCTTGCACACTTACAAGGCTTAGCGTGCATGAGCGACACAATGCCTCTTCAAACCGCTGCTCTGCTCAGCCTGCTTAGAGAGAGGGCGTTGGTAAGTGTGTGATACCTGCCAATGCTTTTTGGGAAGAAAAAAAAAAGGCTTTACTATTTTCATGTGGCATAAAACCCACACGAGGAGCAACTTAAGTAATAAATACTCCCACACGTAAACAAATGAATACTTTAGAGATGCAGCCACACTAGAAGTAAACAGTCAGCCGCATGGAGTAAACAGCTGATGAGCACAGGCAGAACAGAGAGCAGCGTATTCTCTCATATCATCTGCAATCTGCCGTCGACCACCCCCAAACAATTTCACTAACCAAACTCATAAATTGCAGAATAGTAAAGTCTTGCAGCCAGGTGCCCGTTCTGACAGCACAGCAGCCTGCAGAGAGTGTCATGTTCTTTAAAAATAGAGCAGCCACACAGCAGAATAATACCTTCCAGTTGTTAATGCCACAAAAATGTGGCTCTGGCATCGATACAGCTTCATTAACTAATCACAACATGTGTGCCGTGTCCGTGCGGCGTGTGACGGGTCGACGCCACCCCCACTCTGACTTTGTGTCGTCGAGCGTGCGTGCTTCAGCGCAGCAACACATGTGCACATTTGGGGGACGTAAGGATTAGCTTCTAGAACACATGATATAACCTGTTGCGCCACCAAAAAAACACAACAACAACAGGCACGTCCCACTTTGAGGGAAAATACATCTTTTGGGTTTTTTTTGCTATTTTCGGATCTGCCGGAGAAGCGTTCTGTAAAAGCGAAACATGAAGAAAATGAAAAAATAAAAGGTTTAACAATCACTGCAGGGCTTTCGCTTCAGTTTTTTTCTTCTTCGCTAATAGGCAACGGAAGAAAGATCAGTGAGCTGCTCCATCTGTATTGGTACCGTGCCACCGGCTCACAAGCCAATGGCCCACTGTGAATTCTCCCAGTGCTCCAGATGGTGAGCCTGCTATGCAACTCTGCATTATAACAAATTAATGTGGATCAAGTCGATGCAAAGAATGAGCATCATCTTTCTTTTTTTTTTTTCTTTGCAAGGAAACTTGGAAAAAAAAGAAGAAGAAAAGTTGGTGCTGGTTGTTTAACAAGTGCTTTTGATCATAAAGTTTGCCCGTTCTGTCCACATGCTATCAATTTTCTCCCCATCACCAACTGTAACACAAGCCTGTTAATACTTAATATGAAAAAGATCAAAGTCGTCTTTTGTGGAGTGGGAACAAAAAGGGAAATGCTGTAGCGGGTTATAGGCAGAGTTGAAACGCAAGCCTGAGTAAGATGACCTTTCCAATACAATATCATAAAAAAGAAAAAAGGGCTTTATTTTTCCCTTTTATGCAACGGCGAAAATAGCACGAGCAATGACAGGTGGAAATCTGTCTGTGTAATTTGCTTATGACAGGATCATTACTTAAGGATTACTGAAATGCATTACAGAGCTCATTCAGCCATTGTTAGACAACGTCCTTGAGCAGACTCGTAACCCGGCTGGATTGTTTTTGCAATAAAAACAAGGAGAAACATCTTCTGAAAAGCAACACAACCGATATTCACGCCTAAAAGTTGACCTAAAACAACTCAGCTCAACAGTGTGCAGCACTCACATATAGACACGCAATTAGGCATGTATTGACACACACACAAAAACAAAAAAAAAGTACTCACACAGAAGACGTTTTGAGAGGAACAAAAAAATCAAAGAGGTCATTACAGAGAAGTTCAGAAATCACATTAGGCTCCCTGTGGCGTCAAGAATGCCAAAGTGATTAAAAACAGATGGAATAACAGCAACACTGGTGCTTGGAGCTCAATCTGCAAACAGGAAAGTCTAACCTCAACAGGCAGCCTCGTTCCCTTAATCATTCCCAGACTCCCACTTGTTATTATTTCAACCCAGTCTCGGAGCTGAAGCAACCAGCCAGTAAAAATAAATTCAGCGCTGCAAAAAAACTTTCTGCCACACTGTTTCATTCAGTGCATGAAAAAGGAGGTTTTAAAATGGCTTAACTTTTTTTTTCTTATCCCAGAATATTCACTTGCAGTGTTGGTGGGGAGGCAAAAAGTAGAATTAAAGTAAAATAAGTTTCCACCCAGAGTTAAGACCCTGGAAGTGCATTATTTTAATTTGTGCTGTCACACGGCTTTAACTGATGTGATGAGAAAGCAGACAGAGGAGCCTGAGGCACACGTGTCCACGCACACACAGGCCAACACGCTGCTTTATTCCTGCAAATGAATAAAGTGCAAAACTTGAGACGATCAGACAGGCGAGCAGGCTGACAGTCACAGGGATGAACTCACTGGATGCACACTTCTTACAGCTCTCCTCTGCCTCCAACACACACACACAAACACACACTCATAGACACACACACATTCCCAAAGAGAGTACTCACCGATTTCCCGTTGTAGTAATACATTAAAGAGTTACTGCCCATTCCAGGGACAGGGTAGGCGCAATACATTATAGCTTTAACAGTTTACGTGATAAAGGTATAACTACAGCGGCACACTGGCGTTCTCTCTAGACATACATCCAAAGCGTTCAAAAGGGACTAATAATTCTTTCAGTGCTGGCCTCCACACACGACCCACTCAGAGGAAACTTATGCAAAGCAGGAGCGTACCATTCCACACTGTGGGAAGGGGGGTGGCCGCGCGAAGGGAGTGGCTCGCGTGGTACATCCCTCCCTTAAGCCTCTAAGTGCTGAGGCAAAGAGGAAGAGGACGAGGGGGAAGGGAGGCGGACGGGGAGGTGGGTATAGAAAAGATAAAGGGAAGTGGGTGGGACGGAAAACAAATGTGTGAGCGGATTTAGAAAGAGAGAGAGAGAGAGAGAGGGGAAAGAAAATAATGTTTAATTCTAGGCATAAAAAATGCAGATTTTCTGCAGGGTGGGGTGGGGGGGGGACCCCAACAAACTGGAACTAAAATAATTTTCATTCTAAGCAGGATTTCATTAATATGTGTAATTTAAAGGCGATCAAATGAGTGCTTAAGTAAGTGCAGCCAGCGTGTTCTCTTCCACACGTTTTAATCCCGAGTGTCTAATCTTTTTGTTTTTGTGATGATTAAATGAGTCCACAGGCAGTGAGGGGAAATATGGCTTTTTGTAGGAACACAACCATCTGGCAACACATTCTACCTGTTTCCCACACATGGCTCACACACCAATTAGGAGTCATTAGCGGGAGAAAGTGAAGGCTCAAACGTGTAACTGTTCAAAATCCACATCCAGGCACCGAGAGGAAATAGAGGGGAGGGTAATGGTGGTGGTGGTGGGGGGAAAAGATCGACGTATTTATGAAATGTGAAATATGAGTTTTGGTGTTGGCAGAGTGAGACCTTTAGCTGGAGTGCCTGTAAACACAAGAGTTGTAAAGCATGCAACAGCTGCAGAGAGGTTGGCGTGTGACGTCGGAACAAGAAAATAATGCTCCATTTCCTAAACCCCGGGGGCCGCCGACCGAGGGAGAGCCGGGAGGTAGGGTGGGTGGGTAGGGGGGGAGAAGGAGGACACTGACAGCCATTTTACCGTGGTTTACTGTCACTGCAAGCCACACAGCTCCCCATTACCTTTATCATGTGGCAGAGGAGGTGGGGGAGCGAAGGAAGGAGAGCAGAAGAAAGGAGGAGAGGAGTGGATAGATAGCATATTCCAGTGAGAGGCCGGTCTGTGCAGTCACACTGGAGCCTTTCATGTGCACCACTCGAAGCTCGCCGGACTAAACACAGGCCTGTGGACTCATTGAGAACATTACTGTTATAGAAAGATGAAAGCTTCCACTTCCCTAAGAAAACTAGGCCTTTATTATGCTTTTCCTTTTAGTACTGTTATTATTTATCCCCCTTTCTTCTCCGAGTCTCTTTTAAACTCATCCAAAACACTGGCTCTGCATGTTGTTACCGCTTTATATCTGGCGCTGTTTCAAGTTGATGCTTTAAGGAAAACGGTCATGATAGAAGTGTTTGAAGGGGTCTAAAACAAGTCCAGACACACAGCGCAGTGTTGCGAGGAAAACACATGAAAGCAGGGACAAATAGGCATTAATTTAGGAAATCAAGCGTGCACACACACACACACATGAACACACACACACACACGAACACACACGAACACACACACACCAGCAGCAGCAGCAGCAGCAGCGCCGGGGGATTGAGGACACAGCCAACCCCTTTTTCTTTTACCGCCCGTCTCTGCAGGAGACACAGGGAGAATGCCTAAAAGGTTTTATTTAATTAAACTTTATGAATCAACCTTCAGACACACAATCCCCGGCCTTGACACCGCGGCGGAGCAGTCAGCACCGGTTCTGGGAGGTGAAGGCTCGGCTCCGCCCACCTGTTCACGCCGTCCTCTCTAAAGACACTCGAGTCATCAAAAGGTGCTTTTCTTGGGGATTTGTTTGGGTGTCGAAAAACACGGAGCAAATCCACAGGCTGAGGTCACCCCCCGTCTCACGCGTTGGATTTAGCGGTGATGTCATCAGACAGGAAGATTGTTTCCTGTAAGAAGCTCTGGTTCTAATTAGGGAGGGCTGACAGGGAGAGCGGGGAGGTGCACCGGGGGGACCCTCGCCCTCCCAAACTCCTGCTTTATCGCCGATGGACCGACTATTCAGGGTCTCCTCAGGGCTCATCGGGTTAAATTTAAAAGCCGTTTTTAGGACAGCGTAGCAGCCAACCTAACTCTCTGACACTCAAACCCCGCCAGAGGGTTTAAAAGTTATCTTATCTTTAAAAAACAGAAATGATTATGGGATTTCCTGCCTTACGACGCCGAACCGATCATGTGTGACGTGCACCTGCGTCAGGAAAGTGAACCAAATTTAACCTTAAAAAAATCATCAAATCAAAAATAGATTATTTGCAAAAGACAATCTAAAAATTCCGCTGAAAAGCCACAAATGACTCAGCTGAAAAAATTCAGAGGTTGTTCGGCTGAACTGCAGGCTGTGTTGGAAACAAATCAGAAAGGATGACAGAAATAAAACAGACCTGATTAATAGAAGAACTGCAGCGTGGCTCAGAGGAGCAGGCTGCTGGGGAATGCATTCAGCGTGAAGAATGTAAAAATTAGTTTTTAAAGGTTGTAAAAATGCAAAAAACAGTATAATGTGTACAACAAGTCAATATTGGAAACACTTAGATGGGTATTTAAAATGTTGTACATCGTGATTCCAGTTCTTTTTTCTTCAATTTTTGTAAAAAAAAGCTAAACAAAAAAACCCCAAAGAAATAAATGGTCTGTATTGTTTTCTTATTTCAGAATCAGAAATACTTGATTGATCCTTTAGGGGAAGTTGATGTCAGTTGCTGATGCTCCCAATAAAAAGTCTTAAAGGAAGTAAAAATATATAATAAAATCTAAAGTATTAATATGAAAACAAAATAAAAATCTAACACAAAATGAATACACATTCTGCTGTTGTAAGTGTGTTTACAGTGTAATAATAATAGTACCACCATCTGGACATTCATTTATGACATTCTAACTATACAACACAGTGTGTGTTGAATTTTAATTGCGACACAGCACAACTCTCATCAGTAAAACTCACTGACAGCAGATCAGTGTTGTGTAAATGAGCAGCGTCCAAAATGATGCATTCAGGATATTCCTAAAGAAATCATAAGTCCAAAAAAAATTCAGTTATTATTAAAAATGTTCAGGAATTTGTGTCCTCGATTAGTAATTGAAGATCTAATGCGAGCTTTGCATGCTGCTGCTGCTGCTAATGGCATTAAAAACTGAAACTGAACAGATTAAATGAGCGATGAGAGGTGAGTCAAGCAGTCTGGCCTCTTTGTGTTGGACTCGCTGAAGCTCGGGGGCAACAGCACCAAGTCCCTCTACATTATTCATCACTATGGCCGGAGTACAACATACATATGATGCCATGCTGGACCCCGACGACACTTCTAGGACGTCTATGAGCAGAAAATATAGAAAAAATGAATCGTCACAGCTTCTTAAATGTGACTAATTTCAGTTTTTTTTCCTCCTCTTTGACAATGACCTGAATATCTTTAGGTTTGGGAAACACTGATGGACATGTTTCACCATTTTCTGACATTTTAGGGACCAGATAAGTAATCGGTTAACCCGGAAAATAATAAACGGTGAAAATAATCATTACATGACAAAGAAACAGTGGCGTCACACCCACATATAATAAAGTTGTTTGTATAAAACTCTTTGCTGATCAGGTGGGAGGACATTCAGTCGCTTGGATGCACCATTTCTCTTAACAAAGTTGAGACTTTTATTTCTCTGTCCACACTGAAGAAGCTGCTACCTACAGATGCCACTTACTAACTTTAACAAAGGTCTTGATAAGAGACTTCCTTATATAGGAAACAAAGACAGTGCTGAGGATCCGTATAGATGCAGTAAGTGAAGAGGCATCATGAACTTTAATAAATCTGAAATTTAAATGAACTTGACTGCCAGCCATCTACTTGAGATTCTGAAACTGTCAAGCACAGCTGTTAAACACGACGCTGCCTTCGCTCCAGGTCAGAATTCCTCAGCTCTCATAAAACATCGCAGCCCATTAGCTGTCCACCCACAGAACGGAGACACTACGCAGGAAATAATAATAATATTCTGGCATGTACAGCCTATGTTTGAAATTGTAGGTGAAGCCTATTAAAAAAATAAATAAATAAAGATGAAATTAATTTGAAAAAGAACAAAAATCAATGATTTTACCAGATGCACTTGATTTGCTCTGATTTTTTAGAAAGAACAGCCGGTTTTGAGCTGTAAAAAAATGTCTTTTAATTACATTTTTTTAATGATAAAATTAGCTTCTTTTAAATTTTGCAGTTTTAAAACACAACAGGAAAGCACTGGTACAGAATACCCCTGTTGCTCAGCAGAATCAGAATCAGATTTATTGCCAGGTATAGTTTACATCACGACCCCACAAGATAACATAAGTTTGTGTTCGTGACCCCCCAATTAGAATTTTTAATATATCATGAGTAATAACTTTGTTGTTCAAGCATTAATGCGTAAAAATTAATATGTTAATTCCACAGATTAATCTCTTCACATTAACACATTAACTTTCTTTTGAATTAATGAATGAATTTAATTTATTTCGAACAAATGAAAGAGAAAAAAATAATATAAAAACAAAAGAAAATAGTTTTAAAAAGAGCAAAAAAGAATAATAATATCGCATAATCAAATCATAGTATTAAAAGTAGTTTTGTTTTGTTTTTAACAATGATCTGGCGACCCCCTGATGGTATCTTGGGACCTCCATGGGGGTCCCGACCCCCAGATTGAGAACCACTGGTTTACACAATACGAGGAATTTGTTCTGGTGAATAAATATAGAGTAAAATAAAAGTAACTACAAATAAAAGTAAGGGTAATAATGCAAAGCAGAAGCAAAAACAATGTTGTGGAGAATTAAAGTTAAATTTGAATAAGAGCCATAAACCTGTCGTAATATTTACAAGAATACTGAGGGTGCAGATATACTGATATTTACGTTTATACAGATTATCAAAAGAGTGCAAATTGAAGGTGTGGAGCTGCGATAATTTAATATAAATTGCATTATAGAATAAGAAGGTAGTAA